TGCCGCTAGAGGGTGCTCAGCCCTCGCCGCGGTCCCCCGCTGCCTCAAAACGCATTTTTATATATAAATATATACCCACACACATGCAAATATATATATACATAGAGGTATTTTTAAAGTAAAGCCAAGCCACGCGCCTTGTTCCCGCCTGCACCACTGCGAAATGCTGCCCTGCTGACCGTGGAGGGGAACGGAGGAGCACGGCCAACGCAGGGTCACCGTCACCAGGAGCGGTAGCAGCTGGGGACCGCTGAGCCACCAGCCTGCGGGTCGGTAACAGACGCCATCAGGGTCATGGAGACCTGGCAGCTGGGAAATGGCGCCCAGCTCACACACTCGCTCCTTCTCCCTCTCAAGGAAGGTATCATAGCCAGGGTGTGCAGAGAACATCATCCCAGTCCCGGGCTGGCTCGGTGATGTGGCTGTGGTGCAGGACACTGGGAGGTGGTGGCAGGACTGGCCTCGGAGAATCAAGTGAGGAGATAAAGTCAAAAATAGCTCCCTGGCTCCTTGCCTGCCCTGCGGTTCAGGGATGTGGGATGGAAAGTGCATCAAGTCGCCAAAGCTTTCGGATGCTCCAAGATGTTTTCCACCAACCTGGGCATCTCCGAGGAGTACCTGCAGAGCAGCCAGCTCCATGCTCATGTGAGATGGGCAGCCAGCACCCCATACATGTCTGTGTCCCCACAGGACAGTCACACAGCCTGACGTACAGACAGGGTGGGGGCACAGGGCAGGAGAAACAGTCCTCACCACGCATGGGGCTGGTGTATGCCCTCAAGATGGACTGCACCCTGGAGATGGCCTGGGGCTGTAAAGACACCCAAGAAATCCACAAAGGTGGGTGCCACGGTCCTCCATGCCACCATTCCCTCCCTTATTTACTCCATTTCCCTGGGAGCATTTTTCTAAAGGGACCTGAGCTCAGCACAGGAGCTGAACACACAGCCACATCTCTACTCCAAGGCCACCCCAAAATGCTTCAGCTTAGCAACTCTTTGCTCTCCACCCCTTCCAAACCCTCCAGATCAGAGGTGCGCAGGGAACACAGGCAGTACAACATCATGAAGGCAATCAGACATGACAGGGGTGATGGCAGCAGCTTAGCAGGAGACTATGGCTCACCAGTGACAGCAGAAAAGGATGCTCAAACCTCCGAGCTCTACCTGCCTTCTAGAAAGGGCAATTTATCCCACTGCGGTCAGTGTCCTCAAGCTGAGGAGATGTGGGAAGCAGGCGACTGTCCCGGCCAGACTCCCAGCATGGGATATACCCACTCATCACAAGGGTAGGCTGTGGTGGTACAGCACTCCCCATTCTTTCTCATCCTTGTGTCTCCCCTTAGGCGTGTGCTCGTCCCCAGTTAGGTACAGCCAGGACTTCTGGGGTGGAAGCCAAAGACCAAGCAGAAGACACCAGAAGAAGCCAAGGCAAGGTGGAGCAGTTGGGAACAGCCCCTCCAGGGATGCAATGGGAACACCTTGGAGGAAGAAGACACAGTGACCGACACAAAGCCAACCCAGGTTACGGTGATGATCAAAGAAGAGGTCCTCAGAGCTGGTGTGGCCACTCGTGAGGGCTTTGCTGCACCGGACCAGCGTTCCTCAACTCAGTGGTCAAAACGGTTGTCCTGCGAAATTCGCTGTGACCACCTGGTTAAGACCCCATCCCACCACACGAGCTGGCACCACCAGCCAAGTGCTGGTCCCAGCGGCTGAAGGTTTAAACAAACCCACCCTAAAAAGAAACCTGCCGCATGGTTTTCGTGAGTACGGGAGGAGCGCTGCCCTCCCGCCCGAGCTTTCTTGTGGTTGTTTCTGCCTCTTCCCAACTTGCTGAATTGCCTTTCCAGGGGGACATTTTAAAGGAGAAGGAGATTTCAAGTAAATGATTGCAACTTATCGAAAATAATGTGCTACTTAGCATTGGAGACAAGCATCCTGGCAGGCAGAAATGGGAAGCAGTGCCGGAGCAGATGGGAGTAATTAGGTTGTGATTTTCAGAAGGGTTTGCTTTCCTGCCTCCACTGTGTCTAAGATGTACTGGTGGGGGGGACAACCCACCCAACAGCAGAGTTTCTAAAGAGACGGATGACTCCTCTGCCACGGCCACTGGGCTGGG